TCCCAAGCACCAGGTCACTGCCGACCGCCGAGATAGGACAAACCACAACGTCATCAGGCCTCCATTCGCTTCAGTTGGTCCCATACCTCTACAGTACGAGCATCCACCCATTGTGCCATCGCATTACCTGCCACAGATACCTTGCGTTCTGTCCCTTTCGTTTGATTTGGTTCTGTCGTCTGTTTATTGACCCAAATAGCGCATGAGAAGCGTTCAAAATACCAAAACCTTCACGGGTGTCACTGCTCATTGGCTATCTCAGTTCACCTCCTTTCTTATGCGACGATCGGCATCCCTTTCGTCTTGTCCAATCTGGTCGCATCAAGGGAATCCGAGGTCTTGGACGCGCGCGCGCATGCACATGAGGTGACAGACGGTCGCCCCCAGCCAAGGTACCTCTTAAGGCAGACATGGCATTCTTGGGGCCTGATCGATTTCACAATACCGATATGTGTTAGCGCACGTGTTCACCTAATGCATCCAAGCGACTCCCCGCGACTGTCTCGTGAGGTGAACCCGCAGCTGCATCTGTCCTGGCCAGGATGCGCCGGGACAGCTCTCAATGTTTTACCTACATATTCCATTTATCTAGGCGATAAGAGGGCTCCATGGCATTTGCTGAATTCCCATCCTGCCAGAGTTGGGCCCCCACGACCGAGCACACCAGCTAGGTACCTAAAACTCAGGTGAGGGGGTGGACCTGAGTCGTTCGTCCTTAGCGGAACGTTCCCACTAATCAGGGCCGCCGCACCGCTAAAGGTCGGCGCCCCTCCTACCAGCGCATCATCAGCTGCCACTTCTCAGACCGCACCTCTCTGCCTTTTCTCGGGCTTTTCTGCCCTCCGCCCAACCACTTCACGGACATACAGACCTAACGACCATCATGGCACCATGATTTCCTATTCTTGACCTGCGATTTCACGACCGACCTACACACCCGCTGCGCGGCGACGCGCCAACAGTTCTATACAGCATCGAGCGGAAATGCTCCCTAAAGCACCATCATGGGCGACGACAATGGCAACGACAACAGTCCTGGCGAGGAACAGCCTCCTCCTCTGCCTCCGCGCCCCTCCCGGCCCTCCCTCGACTCGAATCACTCGATAGACGCGAGAATGGCAATGGCAGCGGCCACAACTGCCGTCACACCCCTCGACATCCAGACCCTGTCCTTCCCAGATGGCTCGCGCGGCACTTTCTCGACACCAGGCCCGAGGACGTCCGTCGCCTCCTCCAAGAACGGAAGCGGCTCGGCGACTCCCACCACAGGCATGAACGAAATGGAAGACTCGATGAGCATCATGAGCTTCGCCCCGACCATGCGCCCCGCCGGCGACATTGCGAGTCTGCTCGTTGGAGAGTTCAGTAGAAAGAGCCCCGCGTGGAACCTACTAAGGTCACAGTCGGCCACGGTTCAGCCGTTTGAGAGTCTTAGGATGGACGACACCACGCGCAACCTGGCGGGATTTGAGAACGAGTTCGACGAATTGCCCGACGAGGCGGACACGGACTTCAAGGACGAGGACCGCGTGGCGATTTGGAAGTCCAAGTTGAAGCATTACATGATCCTCTCTTCGGCAGGGAAGCCCATTTACAGTCGGCATGGCGATCTAGGGCTCATCAACTCGTCCATGGGTGTCATCCAGACTATTATATCCTTCTACGAGGGTGCTAAGAACCCTTTGCAGGCTTTCACGGCTGGCCAGACGCGCTTTGTCATATCCATCCAGGGCCCCCTATACTTCGTCGCCATCAGCCGTCTCGGTGAAAGCGACTCTCAGCTCAGAGCACAGCTCGAAGCTCTATACATGCAGATCCTCTCAACACTTACCCTCCCCGTTCTCAAGAACATTTTTGTCCACCGCCCGTCAACGGACCTGCGCAAACCGCTCGAGGGCACCGAGCCTCTCATCTCGTCGCTCGCCGACAACTTCACCAAAGGCTCACCTTCCGCTCTCCTCGGGGCTCTAGAATGCCTCAAGCTCCGTAAATCCCAACGCCACGCCATCAACAACGCCTTCCTCAAACAGCGCACAGAAAAGCTCCTGTACGGCCTCATCGTCGCCGGCGGCAAGCTTGTCAGCGTCATCCGCCCTCGCCGGCACTCTCTCCACCCCTCCGACCTCCAGCTCATCTTCAACATGCTCTTTGAATCAGGCGGTATCAAAGCCGGCGGCGGCGAGAATTGGGTTCCTCTCTGCCTCCCCGCCTTCAACAACCGCGGCTACCTGTACATGTATGTCTCCTTCTTTGACGGCGTTGAGGGCGACCATACAACAACCACCTCGGAATCCGGCGCGAACAAGGAGGAAGAGCTCGCCATCATCCTCATCAGCCCCGACAAGGAATCCTTTTTCGAGTTAAAACAGATGCGCGACAACGTCGCAGCCTCCCTGGCACAGTCAGGGCATCTCGCGACTATCCAGGCGGCAGCACGCCTCGGACGGCCCAAGACGATCGACATCGCACCTGGCGGCCAAATCTCCCATTTTCTGTACAAATCCCGCGCAAACGTGCAGTTCTCCATGTCCGCCCTCGACCCTGTCTTCTCCTCCCTCATAGCCCGCCGCCGCCTCATGACACTATACCACCAACTCCACGCCGCCGTCCACGCAAAACACTCACATATGCGCGTCCTCCACTCCGTCTCCGAGGATGCCACCTCTCTAGCATGGATCACGCCCATTTTCGAATTCTACTGCGTCGCCGGCCCCAACGTAAGCCGGGCCGTCGTCACCCAGGGCGCGAACAAGGTCATTCAATGGGCCCGTCGCGAGGAGGAACGGATCTTCATTATAGGCGGCGGTGTATTCTGAATACCTGCTCAAATAAAAGAAAGCAAAAGATATCCACCATTTCATCCCTGAAAATCCCAGCCACAGACATTACTTGCGTACGCCATATCAAACATTATACCCGCAGTGTGACATCCCATGCTCCAACTCCAGCCAAAAGTCCGGCTCACTACAAAACAAACCTATCCCTAAGCACAAATGAAAACTTTGAAGAAGCAAAAAAAGAAGGAAGCTACCCATAACAGATGAAATCTCCAGCCGCCTCACTTCTTCAACCACCCAGCCCTCCACCACGCCTCGGGAAACTTCACCTTGTTCTTCACCACCTCCCACGACTTCTTCTGCCTCAAACAGCAGCCCAAAGCACTGCCCTTGCCCTTGTCCTTCTTGAACAGCAACGCCCTGCCCACCCTCTCCAACGCACTCTTCAACATACACCGCTTCGTATGGCTCGGCGGCGGTGGTGACAATGACGCCGGCCTATCCTCCGCCTCCTCTGCGCCTTTCGTCCGCGTCTCATCCTGGCCCTGCTTCTGCTTCTGCTGCCCCTCACCATAATTCCACTTCTTCTTGCCCTTCCCTCCTACTTCCAGGACCGAGCCCTGGTCATTAAACGACCCAGCCAGCGTCGTCGCCCCACTCAGCTCGCCGCCCTCGTCGCTCCCCTCAAGCGTGCCCTGGCTCGACCGCAACCGCGAGGTCCTCCGCCTGCCCCTCGGCGATCCCTGCTGCTGCTGCGGTGGCGGTGGTGGTGGTGGTGTCAGGGCTGCTGCTCGTGCCGACGACGGGCCCCCCTCCTCGTCCGAGAACACAAGCGGCGGCAGCCCAGCCCTCGCGCGCTCCTTCTGCACGCGCTCAGCCGCCATGCGACTACTCTCGCCCTTCTCATACCAGGGGAAGCTGCCACGCCGCGAGTCCTCAGGGGACACGTTCTCGTCGTCCTTTCGAGGCCCATCCCCAGCGGCCTTGACTCCTCTCCCAGAGCGAGGAGACACTCTCCCAGAGGTCGGCCTGGTAGACTTGTTCCCCGTGAGCGCAGAGCGTCGTCGGGGTGGCGACGATGATGGAGATGAATTGTTGGCGGCAATCTCCTCCCCTTGTTCCTCCGAAGCGCCCCGTCTAGTCTGGTGGGTGCTTCCCGTAAAGGGGTTCTTGAAGGTTATTCTAGGAGCCATTATCTTTTTCAGATCAAGAAATGAAACGAATGTAAAATCTTTCATGTATTTGTTGGTAGCAGCGTGCTGATGAAGTGTGTTTGTCGATGCAGTGTAAGTGAAGTTTTCAGGGGAACGAACGTGATGTGATACCTTCCACCGTTTTGTTTATACCTAATTTAACCCCGACCCTTTTCTTGTCCGTATATAGAAAGACGCCAGACCTCTCTCTCTATCTGTGTGTGTGTGTGTGTGTGGTGTTCCCTTGATGGCCAGGAGGTATCCACAGCAACCAAAGGTATAAGTGAAGGTAGGTAGAGGTAGGTACGTCACAGAGAAGACAAAAGAAGCCCGATGATGTCGAGGTGGTTCCTATAGAGCCCGTATGTAAGCGAGTGTAAAAACGAAAGGACGCGACTTGACCAATCGCAATATGATGAGAGTGGTGCTGAACGAAACGAATGTAGCCGCGTGATGACGATTGTGATGACGGTGAAAACGCGAGAGGACCCGGAGCGAAGGAGACTCGATGGGAATCTAAGCCTTTAAAGGCACGTTCCCATATGGACCATTTCCTCCTTATTCTTGACGACGTTTCCCTAAAAGAGAGTCCCTGTGGGAAGTAAATCTCGAGGCTGCACAAGCCAAGGTGCCATCTGCCCTCACCGGGAGAGCCCACAGGTATGCCTCATGCCCCGACAAGTACCTTCCACATGCATAGCCCTATTTGAAGGCGTATGTCTTGTTGTATTCACTACAAAATCTGTCAGGCGTCGTAGTCTCGTTCCTGCACTTTCCCCAGACCCAAACCCACACCTTTTCCGCCTACAACGCCCTCGATCCGGAGCTACAGCCATAACCAGACTCAATCGCCAACAATCAGGCCTCGCAAATCACACCCCCTTCCTCTCCATGCATCATCAAGTCTCTTTTCAAGAAGCCCAAGTTCTTGAAAGCCAATCAAAAGAACGCACCCAACAGTGGTAAAGATGACGGCACAAAATTCTGCTGGTTCGCTTCTTGTCTGCCATTGCATAAGTGATATTGGTTCTCACCGCCTCCTGATGACGATGTGGACAGCTCGTCTGAACCACCCTTTCATTTTGTTGCCCACTTTCTTGGACTGGCCAGGCGCTGATACACCCCGTTGAACTTGCAATCGAATGGTGGCGTCAGAATCCGTTGAACCAATGTTCCTGCCCCTCAAGTTGAGACGTGATCTGGCCATGCGAACCTTCAGGTGCGAAAGCTTCTTGCGAATAATCTTTGGGCGAATGAAGCTCAGGTCAGAGCTGGAGCTGCGTGTATCGCTCAAATCGTAACCCTCGATCGAGCTGCTTGGCCTCAGGTTCTCGTCGACCGGGTGAGCCAGAGGTATGTAACGCTCATGTAAGTATCCATCACTAGAGTTGGTATCTGCAGGAGAGTAAGGCGGACGGTTTACTCTTCTGGCGCCTCGCCCGTTGGGCGTGACAAGGCGAAACTGTCTCCCCTTACGCTGGTATACTCGGCCATCCCGAGGTTTTCTGTACTGTACCTGAGCCTGGATGCCTTCCGACGGGTCCTCCACCACGTCGCTGAGAGGCCTCTCTTTGGAGAAGCTCAGGTATCGTCTGACAGTGCCGCTTGGATTCTCTTCCACAAACATGCCCAGTGGATCACGCGATGTCCTCAGTCGAACACTTTGTGTCGGTCCTCGTAGTCCGGCTGTGCACCCGACATCCACGAAATTTTGCTCAGAGGGTACACAAGAAACAGGCACCTCTCTGATCATGTTGACTTCGTTCGAGATTGACTTGTTACTCAAGACTGATTTCTGATCTGTAGATCGGTCCAAAGGCTCTGTCTCAACCTTGATGCTCGCCCTGAAAGACTCATGATCCTCGACGGTTGACTTGAGAGTAATCCTAGGACTTGATCCAGGAGTCGGAAGAATTTCAAGCTTGAAAGGGGTGAACTCAACCGGGAAGCTTATGTCGTCTGTAGACTTGATTGACGCTTGTGGTGACATGTATGGCGACTCGTTGGGGATAGAAGGCAACGCCTTCATGAGCTGGGGGATACTATTTCTGACTCTGAGCTGGCGAGCTGGAGAAATGGGTTCGGGGCAGATGATGGTTGCATTCGCACTTTTGATTGATTTTGGCGTTTCGGATCGAAGGCTGTTTGTGCCAATGCACGCAACCGCTTGATTCCTCCGATGACCTCTGAAGAAGGGCTTCAAAGTCTTGGTCTTGCTGTTGGCGTCAATTTGATCAGTACTCTGCTGGTTTGCACTGATGGTTCCTTCTGCATTCGCCTTGGGTTCATCAGAATACTCTGAATCGCCGTAGTTAGCATCGTCAATCATTCCCGAGCGCCCTGTTTCTTTCCTCAGGAAAGGGGACTTGGCAATGCGCTCAAAAGATGAAACCAGTGCCGCCAAGTCAGAAAGGCCAGGGTCAACAGAGTGTCGAACACTCTGTCGGAGCAACGCCGCGAGCCCACCTTGAGACGATGATTGTCGCGATGTCGACATGACGGCTGCTGGAGCGCTTGGAGACTTACGTAGCTTGCCTTGACCTGATAATCTTTTGGCGACATTGTCTTCGGGAGGAATACTGTCGACACGATCCCTTGTCGTTGGAACATCTGCACGTGTCTGGTCCCTTTCATCAGCACTCAGACTCTTCCACGCCCCATCGATGATTCTGTAATCATGGGCATCATCTTCGAGTCCATGCCTTGCTGAATCGCGCGCACGCTCGCTTTGGCTAGCATTCGAATCATCTGCGAAAAGGGACATCATGTTGAAATATCCTTTTCCAAGGTCAGCGTCATTCGGATGGGAAACTGAGCTGCCATCCTTTTCGAAAGAGAAAGGGGCCAGAGAGGGAGAAATATCCTTGGGGTCAGCGTCGCCCTGGGCTGCACCTCGACCGTCATCTCCAGACGAATCGCTTGAATCCTTCACGGAAAAGTCTACCACCGCGTCGAGACGGGCCTTGTTCTCGTCGCGGAGTACCAAAGCTTTGACAAAACTCGAAGCATGCTTGGGTATGGGTGCTAACGGAGTGTTGGCCTCGGTGGAAGGAGCAGCATCAGCCGTTTCTGGAGTCTCAAACCCTTCGGTGTAGTCATAATAGAATGAACCCGCCGGACGGAGTGTGTGAATGTGAGCCGACCCTGAGTTTGGCGTCTGCTTGCAGTACATGTCGATAACTGACGTCAGGCTCGATGACCGCAAGCTTTGGTCTGTGAAGTTTTGCCGCCGGATGGTGCCTGATCGTTCACTGCTCCATTGGCTGCTCAAGAGTGCCCTATGACTTTGACTGCGGCCATCTGGGCAGGGCGGTGCCATTTTAGAGTTGCCATACGGCAAAGACGGCATCGAATGATTTACATCGGAGCGCAACGAAAGAGAAGGTGCAAGACGCGTTTTAGGGTAAGTTGGCATGTACGATCCGTGGACAGTCCTCTGAAGTTGGTCAGCATGACTGGTGGCACCAGTGCTGTCGTTCAAACTTACAAACGAAGTTCGATCAAGTCCGACCATCCTACTGTAGTCGACACGCCCGTTCTCGGTTACAGCAGGCGAAGACGGCCTCACGCCAGGGCGCTTCAATCTCGTTGGGTAGGGAAAAGGAGAGCGTGGACGTTGCAGGTTGCCGCTGCCCGGGGGACTTTGCAAAGTCCGTGATGATACCTTGCGTGACAACTGTCGAGGAGCCGTTGTAGTAAGAGAGTACGAGCGCCGAAATTGGTTAACTCTGAGAGACCGCGGGCCGAAACCAGATGATGGATTGCTCTCGGAGCCATACATTGAGATGATCTCTGAGTTGGTATCTCGATCAGAACCGTACCTCCTACGGCTGATCCTACTCTCGGTCCTGATGCTGCTGAGCGACTCTGACCTGAAGATGGAGCTAGCGTCAATGCTTGGTCTAGACCTGGCGCAGTGATGGATGGTGGCTGCCGGAGCAATTGGTTTGATGGTGAATATGCCGATGTCTCCCGTTTCGGTGGTGGTCTTGAGCATGCTTTCGAGGGGACCTGGGGATGGCAGTAGGCCTGCACTCTCAGTGACACTTCTCAGAGGTCGATGAGGCAGCGAGTGACCGGCGGGAGGCCGAGAATGAGACCGGTAATTGCTGCGCAGCGAGCCATGGCTGGCGGAGCGTTGGACATAGTTCCCTTCCATAGGAGTTGGAATTGGTATTAGATCGGACAGAAACAAATGGCAATATGGGTATGATTGATGGGCAACAGAGGGAGGTGAGGCACAGCGGAGACACCGCAACGGTCGATATGAAGCTATTTCGAACGTCGTCGGATTGTCAAGACATCCCCATGCGTGTTGGATGTTGCTGGGAAAAGCAGTCTGATATTTGCCAATGTCTACGGAGATTATTGTCCGGCAAACACCAGCTGAAGCCGTCCGTGGAAAGAATGGTCCGTCAGAAGCAGCTTCCTACGAATTGCTATATTTGAACGTGCTTTCTCGCAAGGTCTGACCAGAAGAAGGCACGATGTGCTCATGTTGGAAGGCACCTAGCTTCAAGCCTTGCGTCATTCTTGCGAGCCTGCTCTCCTAGACAAGTCCTGTCTGCCACGTGCCCAGCTCTTTTCATCTCATCAAAAAAAAACTAAAAAAACTCTCTCTTCATGAGTGGCAGTCACCCTGTTAACATCTGTAAACCAGAAGGCAGGCGTGGCTCGTGGTGCAGCTGCCGGAGGGTGCAGTGGCTATCCGGGGGTTCATAAAATCAAAGTATTAACCCGATGATACATTTTTCGACGATATTCGTTGCACTGAAGGGGCACCAGACATGGCAGCGTCAGGAGAGACGTTCATGATGTAAAGTATCGCAAGATTTCAGACGACGGTGCTGTGGCCTCATCTCAGATGGGACGGTCTACAGCGGTACAACGGGGCAGCAAAAGAGAGGCAAACTGCCTGATTGGATGCATACCGCAGGCAATTGCCTACTCTGGCCAAAACTAAGGTGCCGTCAGCGTCGCTGCATGGGATGCGGATCTGCCCGCCAAAATAGTTGCAGCTTAGAGACAACTGTCCTTTCGCAACTCCTTCTGACAAACGACTCAGTGACACTATTTGGAACCACAAGGGCAATTTCGGGAGATTGAATGTGATACCAGCAACGTCTAGCTCTGACAGGCATGCTCTGTGCAGATGATATACATAGCACAGGATCCGAGACGGAAGTTGAAAGCTTCCAGACCCTACAGGTAATCGGATTCTTCGGGTCGGAGGGAACAAAGTTTAGAGGGTTTGGGGCGACACGGAGCACCTTAGCCGCTGCGCCGTTCTGGTTACCGCGTAAGGCCACAAACGGAGTGAGGACACAGTTCCACTTTGCAGGCAGCTAGCAACCAGCACCCAGCGTTGGTTCCTGAATATGATCTTTTGGCTGCTATTGATGGGGCCGAGATGGCAAACGAGCCCTTTGTCTGTTTGGCGCAAGAGCACCTTGAGCACTCCGTATTGGACGTGTGTGTGATCAGTGATCGCGGAGGGGAGGGTGCCTTGCATCGGTCCGCAGCTAATCTTGGAATAATATTCCGTACAGCACCACTCGACCACACACCTGCCCAAGAAACGGGCGGTGGGCGCAGCTCCGGCGATGGCAAAAGTCCACAAGTGAGATTGCAGAATGCAGAACATTACATGCGGGCATCGCGAACGCGAACGAGGCAAGGCCGGTCGGTGACTTTCCCTCTGTCGCGGGACCCTTGCCCCATCATGAGGTGAGTGAGGCTGGGAGGTTTTACCACGGTATCCAGTACAGGGTCGCGCAGCCCGTTGGGTGGCTGGAGCTTCGCAAAGTGCATGCAGCAGGCAGTTTGACAGTAGCCTGGAGCTGGACGTCGACGAGGGCCACCTCCACCTCTTGTGCCAGGGTCCCATCGGACAGTGAGCGAAGCGCCAAAAAAGATGCTACCGACAGAGACCAGATCTGGTTAGTGATCAGCCTCCACGGTAGCATTGCCGCTGGATCGCGAACCGGCAGGGCAGCTTGGCGGGTGGTGGGGACAGGATCCTAAGGCGAGAGAATGGGTCCATGGGTACACCTTGTGGTGGCAGGATGGAACCGTGAAGGAAGCACGGAGCGGCGACCGCAGACCTTTGCAGCCGGTGAGAACATGGAACTGTGTCCTCACCTCAGGAAGCGAAAACCTTACCCCCAAGAGCCTCTGGGCAGGTCAGCCATTGTTGGCCACATCTGGATATGGATGACCAATTCAGTTACCACCAGGCGCGGAACGCGAAAAGGCGCAGACAGAGGAGAAAGCATGAGACCAATTATTGATATCAGAATGGCCGCCACCCACCGTTGACAAAGCACGCGCGCGTTGGACCACGGTTGGCCTGGGCTGGGGGCAGAAAGACATGGAAAAGATGGGACGGGCTGAGGGGAAGCTGTGCCATCCAACGATGATTGTCTCAGAGGACCGCCCAGACGCAAGTCGGAATGTGCAGAATAGGGGTGCAACTACCAACAGTCAATGGCATGGCAATCGCAATGGCCGCCCGCATAGTACAGGTTCGAGCGTTTGCCTCTGGGTCAAGCAAGCAATCATTTTGACTCGACTTGAATATGATTGGCAATCAATTTGAACTTGGACTTCTCCCCACCGACACCTCGTAAGGCAGACGGACCGGAGACAGACAAGGCGAGCAAGGGACAGGCACGGAAGACTGAAAATGATAATATGCCGAGCTTACCTGGTTCAGCAACGGCCGTGGTCTTGGTCTTCACAGCCCAGGCCAGGCACTCGCCTCCAACGCAGCTACCTTAGGCAGGTGTCCAGCCGTAGCCTGTTTGAAGCATTGGGTAGGTTGGATCTTTCCTTCCTCACCTTGCCGTGTACGTTACGCCTGGGTCAGAGTGGTTGATTGCATTATCAATTCACCGTAAGTTGCTTCCAGGCGGCCGAACGGTGGGGGAGTACCTGCCTTACCTGAACGGCGTGCAGAAAGAGGAAGGGAGTGGAGGGGTGAGTGGCCGATTTGCCCCTCACGACGGAGGGAGAAGCACCACGAGAGCACGGGCTGCCTGTGGATTGGGGTAAGTAGCTGCCCGCCCCCAATTTGTATCTCAACGCAAAAATGACTCGTGTCGGTACTTCCGGATACATGCGCCCACCGCCAGAGGGGTGTCAAGTCAAGGTGTCCCCCAATCCGCTAACCCACACAGACAACCGCCGCCGCCTTAGTGAACGCATGAGCTGACGGCGGTTCCTGGAAAAAGGGACACCTGTTCTCAATTGCCCTTTGGAAATCCATGGTCCGAAATCTTGACCAGAAAACCTCCAGCTGGCTCTTCCCTCCACTTCCTACTTAAGACAGAACCTCTTCCCATTCACACCCTTCTGGAGCCCGACTTGTTCGCCTCCCTCTCAAGCGTGAATTTTTCCTTCCTCACTGTTCATTTTCTTCAGGTCAAGAAAGGTAAGCAGCTCTCCCAATCCCATCTCACTCTCCATATCGAGCTCGACGTTTGAAGCTCCCCACTACCTCCACCTTCACCAAACGGTCGCAAAGGACAGCTATCGTGAAAGCTGCCGCCGACCGCCTTCTCCCTTCCGCCACGCCACACAAAATCTTCACCAGCGACCTTTTGAGCTTCGTCATTCCACTTTACGGAATACTAACAATCCTGCTTCAGGGTCAAAATGTTTTGCAAGCGTGTTGCCTTCGGCCTCTTGGCCGCCGCCGCCGCGGTTTCCGCCAGCGATGTCACCCAGTTGAAGAAGGATGACTTCAACGACTTCATCAAGACCAACGACCTGGTTCTTGCTGAGTGTGAGTAACCCGCGATCCAAAACGCTTGCGATCCAGCACGAACTGACTCTCATCTTTCAGTCTTCGCTCCCTGGTGCGGTCACTGCAAGGCCCTCGCCCCCGAGTACGAGGAGGCTGCCACCTCCCTCAAGGAGAAGAACATCAAGCTCGTCAAGGTCGACTGCACTGAGGAGGCCGACCTCTGCCAGGAGTACGGCGTTGAGGGCTACCCCACCCTCAAGGTCTTCCGTGGCCCCGAGAGCATCTCTCCCTACTCCGGCCAGCGCAAGGCTGCTGCCATTACCTCCTACATGGTCAAGCAGTCCCTGCCTGCCGTCTCCATCCTGACCAAGGACACCCTCGACGAGTTCAAGACCGCCGACAAGGTTGTCCTCGTCGCCTACATCGACGCCTCCGACAAGGCCTCCAACGAGACCTTCACCAAGGTCGCTGAGAAGCACCGTGACACCTACCTCTTCGGTGGCGTCAACGACGCTGCTGTTGCCGAGGCTGAGGGCGTCAAGGCCCCCGCCATTGTCCTCTACAAGTCTTTCGACGAGGGCAAGGCTACCTTCACTGAGAAGTTCGACGCCGAGGCCATTGAGAGCTTCGCCCAGACCGCCGCCACTCCCCTCATCGGCGAGGTCGGCCCTGAGACCTACTCCGGCTACATGTCCGCCGGCATCCCCCTCGCCTACATCTTCGCCGAGACCCCCGAGGAGCGTGAGGAGCTTGGCAAGGAGCTGAAGCCCATCGCCGAGAAGTACCGCGGCAAGATCAACTTCGCCACCATTGACGCTAAGGCTTTCGGTGCCCACGCCGGCAACCTGAACCTCAAGACCGACAAGTTCCCCTCTTTCGCCATCCAGGAGACCGTCAAGAACCAGAAGTTCCCCTTCGACCAGGACAAGAAGATCACCCACGACGACATCGCCAAGTTCGTCGAGGAGTTCTCCAGCGGCAAGGTCGAGCCCAGCATCAAGTCTGAGCCCGTCCCTGAGTCCCAGGACGGCCCCGTCACCATTGTTGTCGCCAAGAACTACGAGGATGTTGTCCTTGATGACAAGAAGGATGTCCTGATCGAGTTCTACGCCCCCTGGTGCGGTCACTGCAAGGCTCTGGCCCCTAAGTACGACCAGCTTGGTGAGCTCTACGCCAAGTCTGAGTACAAGGACAAGGTTGTCATCGCCAAGGTTGACGCTACCGCCAACGACGTCCCTGATGAGATCCAGGGCTTCCCCACCATCAAGCTCTACCCCGCCGGTGCCAAGAAGGACGCCGTTACCTACTCTGGCTCCCGCTCTGTTGAGGACCTCATTGAGTTCATCAAGGAGAACGGCAAGTACAAGGCCGAGGTCTCCATCAAGGAGGAGGGTGCCGAGGAGAGCCAGGCCGCCCCTGCCGCCACTGAGTCCGAGAAGGCCGAGAAGGCTAAGGAGACCAAGGAGGCTAAGGAGGACGGTCACGACGAGTTGTAAAAGGTTTTTCTGGGTTCACAATGAAATGAAACTTTGGGACATCCCTCGGGTTGGGATTTATATACCTCTTGCGCGTTAGGCCCTCCACTTTGCATTACGGTTTGCGGGTAAATTGATGTTCAGTTATGAAGAAAAAGTTTTTTAAGTGCTGTGATTAATGTTGACGCCATGCTGTGATTGCTTCTTTGTGTGACCAGACGCCATCTCACTTCTCCCATCCTGCCAGTGTCTACAAGTATGGATTCTTTGTACGTTCTTGTACCCTTGGTAGATCAAGAACTGTTCGCGCACAGATGTGTTAACCTCATTCATAAAGCTCAAGGCGCCCAAACGAAGTTGTCCGCATCAAGCGGATGTTGCTTTAGCGTACATGTATGTTGCCTTGAGTGCAGTTTGAGTATTTCCTGCCCTGGAAGACATGGCGTCCTGCTTTGACAAGGTTTTTGGTAGCTACATCCTTTCACGCGGTTAGATGACTTCGTGTGAATGAGCGCGGGATAGACTACGCAGGCCAGGGGTGGACGATGAATGAGCAGATGCTGAACATCACTCTCCTGATAATTCTGCTTGCTCAGCTGGGTGCCTGGCTTTTGCTTCGTCTTGACGCGACCCAAAAATGCCCCCGATGATGCATTTGTTCCGGTGTTGGGAGATGGCAGGACGGATGGTGGCTTTTATCGATGGTGTTTCGCATCAGTGTTGGCCTCGGAAACTATTTAAAAGGTGAGGAAGTAGTCATTTCTAATCGAAAACATAATGCCAGATATCTGATCCATTGTTGAGCAGCTCACATATCCACAGTGCTAAGCTGGCTCACAGAAATTGTGGAAATGGAAGTTACTCGTCAGCGTCGATCAGATCACCGCCCATTTCCTCTCCTGTTGTTTATGGATTATACGAATGGCATAATCAACTTGCTTATAGCATCGTGAGCGTGCTGACACGGTCGTCATTGCCTTCTCTAGCGAGAAGAAGATTGACCAAATTGACCGTCGACTAGAACAAGTCGTGGGTCTGCTACAGACACTCCCACTCAATGCGGAGCAGACTTCTCACGCATCCCTTTCATCTACAGGTGGTAGCCCGGGAACTCTTCCAGCCGACGCTGGACTTGAAGCCTCGTCGGTGATGGAGGGAGAGTCATCATTAGCTGCTCAGTTTACCTTCGCAGACGACTTTATGCAGAAGGTCGCTCGCGGAGAATCCCCATCGTGTACGAATCCTGGTGGAGAGTTGCAAGAAAACCTCAAAGTGCTCTCCCAGATTGTCTCCTCCTTCAAACGACATGCTGTTACAGACGAAATAGTGTACCCCCACGCCAGGCCCGTTCACCGGCCAAGTTTTCAAGGCAGCGAGCTGCCACCCATTCAAGAAACCGTCAAGGTTATTCGCATTGCTGAATGTGAGTTTTACCTCGAGATGCCCTATGAATTCTGATCTACGTCGAGACTTATGTTGCGTTGAATAGCCCAACGTCTCGCTGGCACCGGCTGGATATACGAGTATCTTCCACTGCACCAGTTTTCAAAAACATGCCTAGAGGTCTACTTCTCAGAGCAATATTCAGAGGCTGACTTCATCATTGTCACTGCCGGCCTCCATTCAATTTTTAAGGACTACAGCATTATCGTCTCGGAGGAGGAGAGGGAGAGAAGCCTCAAGTATTCTAATCTATGTCGCGCACACCTCGAAACGGCGCTCACTGGTCTACCGCTACACTTGCCTGCAAACTCGAAGACAATCGTCGCCCTTATATTTGGTGTAGGCCTATCTTGCATGAGCCCTAAAAGCTTTTTGTTAACCATTGCGCAGGCTTGCCACTCTATCGAGCTCTCGAAGCCGTTTTTGGCTTGGTCCCTGTCATCAAAGGCATCGGAGCTGTGCCAATCACTCGGCTATCACCGAGCTGTATCCGTTCACCATGAAAACGAAGAAGAGGCTCAGTTGAAGAGATTCCTTTTCTGGAGCACCTATTTCATTGACAAAAGCCTGTCATTACGTTTGGGCCGCGCGTCGACGATTCCGGAATGGACCATCACGACAAGCAGACCGTCCGTGAATGATCCTCATCAGCAGCCAGTGCAGGCTTACTTCGTCTTGTGGGTCGAGATGGCGCGGTGCCAGGGGAATATATACGAGTTGCTGTACAGCCCGGAGTCGGTAACCCAACCTGATGACGTGCGACAAGCTCGCGTCCAGCGTCTTGTGTCCGATCTCCAAGAGCTGGACGAAGCGACCCAGGAGACCAACGTAGGTTAAAGGCTCAACATCACGCCAGAGCTGTGTTCGCTGACGTTACCGCAGAGAAGGTGGTTACAAGAATCAAAGGACAAGTCGGGAGAAGATCTGATTGACTTTTATGCCATATCGGACGAGACGTTGCGTCTGTCGCTTCTCACTCTTGTCCATCGAGCAGCGCCGCGACAGGTTGGCACTGCCACAACATTCAGCCCGGAATGTGTCATTGCTGCGCGAGATTCTCTAGAAAGACATAGAGACTGTGTGAGCATCATCAAGAAAAGCGGCAACTCTTATTTCCCAATGTACTTCCAGTGGTGGGTCACTACCCCTTCATGTGCTTGTCCATGACCTTGTCTTCAAACATCAGAATGCTAAGCATCCCAGGTCTCTCTTATTCGCCCCGTTCGTGCCGTATATTGTCATGTTTTGTCACGTCATTGAGACGCAGGACAAAGCGGATCTTGCCCGTCTTGGAGACTTTTCCGCCTCCATCCAAATTGCTGCCCAAATTTCCGAGGCGGCGTTCAAGGCCTATCACCTGTTTCACACGCTTCACGATATTGCTGTCCGCTATCTCGAGCTCTACGCCGCACATCCTCAGAACGGCCAAGGCAAGGCTGGTCCCGAGATGGATTGGTTCTTGGAGGCCTTGGGCATCGCGCCGCCGGGGCAGGAGAATGATGGCCAATGGCATCTGGCCAGCGATGCGCCTTGGTTTGGCACTGACTTGATTGACAGTATGGGAGCTGAAGGAGCGACGGTCAATGACGCCACGCAACGGAGACCGTCCGCAACACAGCCTTTGGCCCGTGTGGGAAACGAGCTTGAGTTGGAGTCTTGGCTTCAGAATAACGAGGCTGTGATGGAATTTCTCCGAGAAACAGAGTTCAGTTTTGGAGGTGACCCTTAGAAGATTCAAATGATGGTTCTAGTTTCAAATTCCAACATACCAATATGGGCCTCTTTAATCGAGACATACATACTCACATTCATGACTGCGTAGAAGTCATGGGTCAGAAATTGTTCAGATGTCGTCTGAGAATGGCTGTTGATGTTTTATCTCTGACTGCGGAGACAACTGAGAAGATAGCTCAGTGAAGACAGACATGTACTTTTTCTCTGAGAGCGCTCTGAGTTCCAGTTGCAGGAAAAAAGTTTGGTTCTATGATGAACAGGTCTTTCACTGCGAATCATACTTGCAGTCACGAGAACACAAGATCCACTCATTGTGTCTGCACCTGCGCTCAACAGCGTCATTAGGGATCCATATACTTTGTTGTTCGATATCATCGAGATTTTGATAGTGAACAGGATCGATCCACAAGATAGGATAAGCTCTTTTCCAAATGTTAGAAAAGGGGGCCATCTTATGTGAAAATCAGATAGTATAGGTGTCTGATGGAACACGGGGAACGAAAACCCAGCTTCCACGCTGAAGGGAAGGACACCAGCCGATCACTCAGGCCCCAAGCTTATAGCCCCCAGGGCAGAGCCGCTGGAACGTCTTCTCCGCATCATACTTGTCCGACACAGCTCTCAATCTCTGATAATTGTCCTCCCCGTAGCTTCTCATGACATCGACATTTTGCGCAGCATTGTTCATCCACAAATTCGGAATTAGAGCATCTCTCTTGCGGGCCATCTCTGCGACCTTACTCATGAACTCTTCATCCATCTGCAAAGCTGTCGCATCGTCGGCAGGATTGTCCCAGTTCGATCTGAAATTGAGGGCTGGGTGCGGCCAAATAGTCAGTCTTCAAGTTTTAGTGTGAATGGATAAACTTACAATTCTGGTTGATCTCTTGCCAGCCGCCCGGGTTGCCACCCTTCCTGTTCGATTCGCAGATGGTGTAAGGAGTGATGGGATTCCAAGACATGGCGATGGTGTGTCCCTCCAATGCGGAGGATTCATAGTAGGTGAAAAGTAGGGCGGAGATCTCCTGATACAATTCCTTATCTGCCTTAATGTTGATGTTTGAACGATTGATGCTGTGACGTAGCGACTGGTTAGCACACGTTGCTTTCGAAGTCTGAACGAATTTGCTAACCGTGCTGTGTAGACACCCAAGAACTCAGGGGTGATGTTCTGCGATGCCAAAGCGGTGAGGGTTATGCGGGACATGTTTGTAGCTACCGGCTCAATGTCCAGAAGAGGCTTGATCGCGGACGGGTAGTCACCAGTGAAGTCGAGCTTGTCCGTGAACGGGATGAGATCGATAATGGCGAGGTTGATGGTAGGTATGATCATCTCCATGCAAGTGACCATGAGGTGTGGATCCTCCAGGAGAGGCCCGGTCTGCATGTCATAGAAAGCTCCAAGGGCAGCGTCCCCCTGACTCGGGTTGTATGAAAGCGGCCCGTGAAAGACACCGTTCGGAAGAGGGAAAGTGTTCATGTCAAAACGCGTGACGATGCCAAAGTTGTTAGAGCCCCCCTTGAGAGCCCACCAGAGATCCGCATTCTCTGTGGCGTTGGCGTTGACGATTTTTCCACCTGCGAGGACGACCTCAAAATTGGTTACGTCGGCGCTGGACCAACCACGGCTGCCGAGGAAGTAGGACAGACCATCTGGAAAATGTGGTCAGAGATCTTCTCCTCTTGATTCTTAAAATCTCATTCGAAGCAAGCAGACAAAACGAAAAGAGGAAGACTTCAGGCAAGGGGGCAGGGGGATACGTACTTCCAGTTAGGAGACCAGCTATGCCAACGACGGCTATCTCTCCTCCAGTGACTGCGAGGCCTTGACTCTCGAGAGTTTCATAGACTCGGCCCCAGTGGTTGCCAGGACCCAGACTGACGACTTCACCTGACGAGCTGAGTGACAAGTCATTCATCTTCTCCAAGGCAATGAGCACGCCGTCCTCAATACCAGCCATTCCAGGGTGAGTGGTGAATCCGAGACCACGAATAGCAAATTTCCTCTGGAAGAACTCCAAGATCTTCACGCAGGAGGCTACTTGCTCCGTGCTCTCCGGGGTGAAGACTGCGGATGCGTTCAGGCGCGGCCGGGAACCACTGTTGAAAGTCAGCAAGGCAATGGGAGATGTTTGGAGACCGAGTGATGGTAATTATAATGACCGCGTGAGACTAACAAATACTTGTTGATCCAGGAAGAGTAACCGGCAGTCTCAGGCAAAAAGACGTTCGCCGGGTACAAGGCACTCAGCAGCTCTTCCGCGTAATTCTGGCTTGCCTGGGCACGCTGATGGATCTCTGATATCTGATCTTGCATCAGCCCCAGGATGAGCATGAAGTTCGTGACCTTCTCTTTGTCCATGTTTACTGCAATTTAGAGTTCAGAACGGGAACACTTGAGGTGAAGGATTGAGTGATACGTTGCAATTGGCAGGTGAGTTGACAGCGGCAAAACCAAGTCGTGTAGCCAGGCAGACGAGAAAAGATGGAAACTTAATATTATCAACAAGCGGCTTATATGTATTCAACTTAGCGACTGTTTATTGATCTCGACAAAGTATGTCTGATGCTTTCTTCCGCTCCGGGGTTCCGTGAAATCCGGGCCCCGAGTCTTGCACCGTGCTTCGGGCCCGGGCGCTCGGTTAACCGGGGGCGCCGCCGTGGGGCCGGACGGTTAATCATGAGTCACTCGGCGAGTCCTGTCAAAAAGATTTCCACTCTATGACAAGTCAGGGGTACTGGTATACTTGGTGATAGTGTGAAAGAGGTAGGGGAAAAAAAAGGCCCTCACTTTCATGAATTTCTGCAAGTATGAGAAAAGAAAACTCAGTTACGCAAATATCTTTAGATTATTAATGCCCATGTGGTACGAAAATCAGCTGGACCTTCCAAAATTATTGTGAAACAGGCCAAAGATGGACAATAGCAATAATGTGAGGGTGCCAGGAGTCTCTTACATACTTTCACAAGGGTCCAATTTGGTTCATAGTAATTCAGAAGAATTATGAGAATGGACTGAAGTCTGCAAAGAGTCCTATATAAGGATCCTTCGATACAAACCGCGAGACAAAATCTGCAATGCTGACTTTAGATCGTATTTTTTTGTTTAAATATAATGACGGGACGATGGTCTGTGTGAATTTGCGTGAAAGCGTTTGCTCAAGAGTCATGGAAACCCGAAGATTGGGCTAAGCGCATAGTAGCCAGGCACTGTACCTATCTAATAGCCGCCTGTTTAGCATGACTGAGCTCTCTTACCAGAGTTGTAAGGTTGTGGGTTCGGCAAATCTGGCATCCTCAACTCCACCATCTCCGTTCCCACACATTCACACGCTGGCGTGGCCCAAATCATCCTCCCCAGAACACGGCCATCCTTCTCAAGCACGGCCATCCCGTTTTTAAGTGCCATCTGGTACTGCAGCCCAGGGATCCTCCACGCTCGCGCGAGCCGAACCTCGTTAGCGGGCGCGAAGAGTCCCGCACGGAATAGAGATGTCTTATGACAACGTGTGCAAGTCACGGATACAATCTTCGAGTGTGGCTTGTTGTGGACCGTGCCGGCATGCGCGAACATGAGTCCGAGCCGGTTCTGTACCACTCCGTCTACGATGCCAGTGAGGTGTAGAGCCTCGGCGAGCCACATGATTGCGTCTGTCCCTCCGAGGCCGAGGGTTTCCACCCGCCAGTCTGGACGCCATTCGCTGCGGGTATATTGGCTCATGAGCATACTCTCAAGGTCTCGAGCGGTGCCATGATTCTCAATGTGCTGCATGATGCTGTTCGTGTCTTCTCCGAACAATCTGGTTCCGAGGGTGGCCACGAAGTCGTTCAGGTCGGGGCCCGTCTGCGCCAAGGTCATTTCAGCGCAAGCGGCGAACTGGTCGAGCGGAGAGTACCACGACGATTCGGAAAGCATACTAACGATGCCAATAGGCTGGAGCCTGGCGCGAATAGCATCCTCGTGGGAACTGTCGATGGAAATCTCGGGTATATGGTCCGGAGGTGAGACGACCTCACCCATCCCCCACGTCCACACATCATTGTAGCACGTAAACATGTTTGCCTCTTGAGGTGGCTCGGGCATGGGGAGATTTGGCGTCATGAAAAGGGGGCTGTAGTCTCCCGCAAGGAGGCAAAGCCAAGCGACATGAAGATACCCCCGCCGGAAGTTTGGCCCCGGAGGCTCCTCGTAGTCGCTCTGTGTAATACCGCGAAGTCCATGCAAGAAGTCCATCTCGTCACGGCAGCCCCGTTTCGACAACAGGGCAAACGCCATTGCGAAATTTGTTCGATGGAGAGATCTGACTTGCTGCAACGGCCCCAGGTTCCACGGTACCAGGTTTTCCGACGTTCGCATCCCGACGCTGTCCTCCAAGCCCCATACGTCGCCACCGTGAGCCTCAACCTCCCTCCCCCAGACTTGCTGAAGTTTTCCGAGAAACGCTGGGTCAGTCCCGTCGTCGCCTTGCACAAGCTGGAAGTCGCTCGTCATCATCCGGACTGACCGGCTCCGCACGAACTCCATGGCGGTCCACATACGCGTGAACCACTTCTCGTTGCAAACTCCAGTCAGACCGCTCAGACGTTCATGAGAGGTCCTTCCACGATGTAGCTTGTCGACGACTGCCAGAGTGAGACCGTCAAAGTGGATGATGGTTGTATGGGCCTCTTCAAAGATCCTGTGAATGGTCAGGAGGATTCGACTTTTCAGCTGGTCCGTCCATTGAGGAACGCTGAAATAGTCGTGCCAGAGCTCTGAGTCTGGCGGGAACTGGGGATCTTTCTCAATGTTGGTAAAGATTCGGACCGGGTTCTCGATTGCGAGGTGCCTGACTTGTAGAGTCTGGGGTGAGAAGCGGTGTTGCTGCTGAATGGCCGAGATCTGGGGGTCCCAGACGTGAGACACCGTGATCATGGGTACACCTGCGTTCAGGAGACAGTGAAGGTGCCTATCGAACAGCAATATTTCCACTCCGAGATGTGATTCGACGACTC